TAAAATGTCTACATAAATTCTGAGCAGTTGCTTTATAACTTTCATTCAGCCTTGAAATATGCTGCTTCTTTTTCTGTTTACACCTAGAAAAAGTTTCTGACCAAATATTGGTGGTTTTTTTTCTATTGGTGCAATCTAGTTTTCCTAAATTATTTAATTTTCTTTTATAGGTCATTCTTATGCAAGAGGCTAGAAGTAATTAAATTTGCAGGATGAAAACATGGCACAGGCACTGCTGGTACCACCTGGACCTGAAAGCTTCCGCTATTTTACTAGAGATTCTCTCACAGCAATTGAAAAGCGTTGTGCAGAAGAAAAAGCTAAAAAGCCCAAGCAAGAACATACAGATGATGATGATGAAAATGGTCCAAAACCAAACAGTGACTTGGAGGCAGGAAAGACATTGCCATTTATTTATGGTGACATACCTCCAGGAATGGTATCTGAACCTCTGGAAGACCTGGACCCATATTATATCAATAAAAAAGTAAGTGAATAATGTTTTGCACAAAATAGAATACAATTTTCTACACTAGAAGTTTAATCACAAAATATGATGGTTAGAGCTATCAATCCACTAAATATACAGAACTGACTTAACAGAACTGCTTTATGCTCTTCTATCTTGTGACTGTGTCAGTTCTGTTGAGTTGCTTGTTAGTTACCTCATTTTAAGGAAGATGTAGCTTCCTTGATCCTGACTGAACTTGAGAACATGAATTAATTTTCCTGATTTCAATGGAATAGTAAGACTGGATATGACAAGAGAGATGTTCCAAGCATGGTTTTGCAATGGACATAGTTGTATATAACCAGTTAGCATCCATCCAAGTTCGTGAAATAAAAGACTGTAATCATATTCTTTGTTTCTGCTATTGCTGTATAACCTATATAAACATATATATGAAATATATCTATCTCCAGATATGTAGCATACAGAGATGCTGTGTAAATCTTGGCTTATATGAAACTACGTCAATGAAAACTATTGCTTGAGGGTTTTGGGATTGCTGCGATAGATCTCTACTGCACAGGTGTCAGTTAGAAGCCTGTGGTAGACACCATGGAAAACCTGGGTTTGTGGAAGGAATAGAAGAAAGATATTTTGCATGTTTTGAAGAGTTTTCTTACAGAAAGAGCAGAGTGAAGATGTGATGAGATAAAAGCAATGTACCTGAGTTGCATGTGTGAAACTGTAACACAACTGGACCAATAATAGCATAGTTGTGCTCCATGAAATACATAAACTCCTAAAAGAGTTGTATTTTCCTATCTGATTAGCAGAGTCATACACAATCCTCCTCATTTTCGTGTGATCCACAAGCCAGGGACTTGGAGATAGAAAGGATAGTTCAAACAGATCCATTCAAGTATAATGTTTGACTTCTTTTAAAAGTCAGGATCTGCAGTACAGCCTATGGGTTTTGGTCTCGTAGCAATGATGCATACAATCTGGAAACAGACTACTATTATTTGATTTAAGAGAAGGACAAGGAACAAACAAGTGTATTTTCATCACTGAGATTAGTTGTAGACTGTGTTAAACTCGTACAGGATCTGAAATAGTCGAGCCTAGGAATAGTTAAATGTGCCTTATGTCTTGCACTGTTTAGTGAAAGGTGCAGATGTCAGTAAGAGCAGGTTCTCCTCTGTACTCTGTTTAGTTCTGTGTGCTCCTTTAGCAGTAGATGTTCTCTCAGTTCCTGATAGACCTGCAAAGTGTTGTGGTTAAGGAGAGTGAAGGAAGATGAAGATATGGATAACAACCATAAGTTAAAAAATACAGAAGGTGTTTTATGGGCAAGTGCTTGGGATTATCTTTTCCTGTGTTTCTGAAACAGAGAATAAGATCGTCAGATTTGCTCTGATGATGGCTTGAAGCATTCCAGGCTGCCATTGAGATAAGAAACTGATGTTGAGCAACTCTAAAAAAAAATCAAGACATGAAATATTTTAAACTCTAAAGGAACTTACTTTGTTAGGAAAAAAACCCATCATGCAACTAGTACTCTCAGCTTTGTTGCTAAATTTGTGGTTGCCTTTGGTTTGCAAAACTGGTTTTAAAATTATGGGAACAGGAACAGGAAATAAAGCAGAATCCATATGTAATTACATAAGCTAACAGTTTCCAAAGTTAAATAAATGGTGCTGTAGGTAATACAAATATTAACATTATTAAGGAAATGTAAAGAAATGAAAGCTCAGAGAAGCAGCATTGCCAAGGGTTAATTTACATGGTTTGGGTTATATCAACAGTTTCCTGAAAACTTTTACTTACACTATAATTGTCTACACTAAGCCCTTTTCTGGACTAACTGCAAAAAAGTAATCAAGAATAAGTTGCATAAATAAATTCAGGGATAAAATTATCTGAACAAGCCTTCTACAAGTGAAGTGTCAAAAAACCTAAGTACTGAAGTATAGTTTCTAACCTCTGTTGATCAGAAAAAGTAGATTTTTTGGAACAAAAGTATAAAAGCTCAGACTACTGCTGGACTTCTTAGTCTATGGGAGAAATTAGTAAACTGCATAATCTTTTGTCACAGGTGATATCTATATTTCTGTAGCAGTCTAACTATGCTCAGCAGAAAACAGACATCTTAAATGATGGACTGGAATTGTTCATCCCTCCTCTGGTGTATAGCAGAAACTACTCTTTATCACTGACTTCTTATTCTAGAGAAAAACATGCAGGAATTGTGTATAGTTTTTTTTCAGGCTCTGCTGTAGCAGTGACCTTGGGACAGGCAACATCTTTCTAGTATTTCCAGCTGGGTGAAGGACTGTAGGGCAGAGAGAAATGCCAATGAGTCTGCATCCATTCTCTGCCACCCTCAATGTTTGCTTGATGTTATTCTGTGAACAGGTACAGCAACATTCCTTTACCTATTTCCTTTCCCACCGTGGAGCAGTTTGCTTTCCCTTCCAGAGATGACAGACCAGATAGGCAGTAAAGGCCATGGAGAGGGCAGCATTTTTTTGATCACAGTCAAGTTTTTACTGAGAATGGAAATCAACATGGAGAGCAGTGATACTATATAGCTCTGCTGAGAGCGTAACAAAGACTCTATTATGTTAACACAAAGCAGAGCCATTACCATCGACAAAGACCAAAGGGAATGAAGAACAGTTGTGTCCTGAAGAAATTTCAAGCAGCACCAAAGACGCAAGTAAACCTCATTCACACACAAATACACTTAAGCAATGACTGCCAGTAGAAACAGAATAAAATTAACACAAACCGTAGGTTTATCAGGTCAAATTTTAGAACATAATAACTACCGAACTTTGCTGTTCACATATAGGGAAAAGAAGAGTATATTGTTAAAAACAAAACTAGCAAGTTTTGAAAAGAAAGGTTCGTTGTTTTAAGATGCCAAAAATTGTGGTGTATGTTTGTCCCAGACTGCTCAGAACTATGTCAGCTGGCAATTTTACTAATCCTTTCTATTTTTCATACATATATTTTTAGAAGATACATTTAATTGATATTGGTAGTATTTTAAACATAAAACAAAAGCAAAATTATTTTAAAATTATGATTGATTGTGTAGTGACAGGTGTTTCTCCTTGTCACCAAATATATTTGTGTATATAATTCTGTCAAGTATTTGTTCCAAATACAGACTGGCATTTAGAACTGCCCTTTTGCTGTTCAGGTTTTGTTTGTGTTTACTTACAAGGTAGAAAGAATTTGATTAATTTGAAACTCTCAATTTAGTCAAAGACTTAATTAGAAATAAAACGGAAACATTTTAGGGATAAAATGCTGCATTTTGCTGTTATTGATAAATTGTCATTGTTTTTTATAATTCCCACCAGCTTTAAAATCATGAGAATTCAGTCCACATGCTGGGAAATTTTGCAAATTGGAGAATTGGCTCTGAAAGGCTTAATCCACTGGATTCATAGAAACCAGTTATTTTACTACCGCAGGTAGACAGTGGAATGGAACTTGTATCTCGCAGATGGAGAATGGAAACTTTTAGTAGGAGGTAAAGAAATGTATGTAGTCAATACTGTATTTTAATTTTGTATTTCTTTTTTTGCAGACTTTCATAGTATTGAATAAGGGAAAAGCAATTTTCCGATTCAGTGCCACATCTGCCTTGTATATTTTAACTCCTTTTAATCCCATCAGAAAAATTGCTATCAAGATTTTGGTACATTCATATCCTTTTTTCTTAATGTTGTTTTAAGGGTTGCCATTTGAAATTGTTTTATGACTGAAATAATACTTTTCATATGGATATACAAATGGTGTCCATGGGGATGGACTGTGCTAAATAAATATATGTTGTTCACACTTAAAAAAGGATCAATATCACACGTAAATTGTAGTATGATCTTCATGCCTGCTGAGGGAATTTTCTACTGAACCACCTAAAGCAGTCAGAGTTTAAATATCAGGCTTTATATCTAAAAGGAGACCTGATCCCATACTAAGCCCTGCAGCTAAGGCCAAATTAGTAACAAACCATTGCACTTGAACATATCTAAGGTCACACTTTTACCAAGACCAGTACTACTATTCATGAACTAGACTCACTTAGCAAGGACAAAAGAGCATGAGTAAAGAGCTGCTTTTTCAGCATTGTGTTTTGAGCATTGGGGTAGGTGTCCTATAAAAGATTCAGGTCAGGATAAAGGAGAGTATTTTCAAATATATTGCAATGTCCAAAGAAAAACTCGGGTGTAAACAACCAATCTCTGACTAAAGATCTTTTAGACTGATCCCCTTCTCTCCAATGAGTGATTACATTTAAGTACTTATTTCATATTTTACAGACTTAAGGATGTGCTTAAATTTCATTTAAAACCTAAACCTGCTATAATTACAAAAGTAATACATTGTTTTACAGTAAGTGCACCATAACATGCCAGATGGCATACCATTTAAAATAGATGAAACTATGTGCAAAGCTTTATTTTCAGACTTTAATTAAAATTTCGTGTTATTTGTATGCATTGCTATACACTTAATATTTTAAAATTATTTCAGTGTTATAAATCGGTCATACTTCTTTGACTTACATGCCTTGACTGTAACCTACATTATTCAGCATGCTTATCATGTGCACTATTTTGACCAACTGTGTATTTATGACCATGAGTAACCCTCCAGACTGGACAAAGAATGTAGAGTAAGTCAAACATTTTTACTTCTTTATTTTTACATCCTTGGTTTTCTGTGACTCCAAACAAGAAGCATTTATGAAAAGTTGCCTGACAGAATGGGCTAGTCCAGAGTCATGAGGAATCATTCCATGAGATCATCAATATCTTTCTGGTTTCCTTTTGAATAACTTAAATCATTTAACAGTAATACCTTGTTCTTTAAAATTATATCTGAGTACGAACAGGAGCTTTTGTCCTTGGATGTTCTGAGCTGTAAATCAGAAAAGGAGCTCCAGAACTACAAACCTGCATGTAAAATTGTTGCACGCCATTGGTGAGACCAGCCATATATTGCTTGAGTATCCGTGATCTTATCACAGCGGATTATTCACTGTGGCTCACTGATGCAAACTCATAAGCATCTGCCACAGCAAGCACACGCAATCCCCAAATCACAAGAAACTCAGACTCCTTAGGGCCTTACCTATGGAGTAACAAAGAGCTGACAGAAGTAAGGAAACCACAGCATATCTATTTCTTCTTCTTGTTCGTGGTTTTACATGCACATTTATTCTCTGACAAATTATAGATATATGTTTTCCTTCGAAATATTGTAGAATTATAGAATGGTTTGGGCTGGAAAGGACCTCAAAGATCATGTAGTTCTAACCCTCTGCCATGGACTGGGACACTTTCCACTAGGTGGAAGGCTGCTCAAAGCCATCCATGTTTTTATTGGAAATAATACTGCTGAGAAAACCATAGTTCTAACTACTTGTTCTTTCTTTCATTCTCTCCTATTCCCCAATAGCCATTATTGATTTTTATTTACTTATGTCACTGCATTACTGAACCTTACACTGTTTAGAAACCACTAGTATCAACCATTCCCAGAATGCTCAACAGTGACTATGGCTTGTTAGAATTGTCGAGAGTCTGAAAGGAGAGCAGAAGGGTCTGCAAGTAGAGTTCCTTTATTCTGGAGGTCCACACAGAATCACGTGTGTCTCAGGAAGCCCCTGCATTAGGCTGGTTATAACTGACTATTCTGTGTTGTTAAATGAATTGTTGTTCCCACACTAGGTAAAGCAGTAATCATGCTCAACATCTTCAAGAGTAACTGTCTGGGTGTGCTTTCTTATATTTAATGATTATTTATGAAATAAACATGTATTATAGGCATAAGTATAGTTATTACCCAGAACTTATTTTCAGAAAACTCTCTGATATTGACATAAAAATATTCTTGATTTTTTGTAACACTTAGACCTTTACCTGATTTATTAATGCAAGAAAAGAGGCAATCATGAGTGCCAAGAATGTTCATATAAATATCAAACTCTGAAATGTATCTATAAGTACTAGAATCTGAAATGATTTGCAAGCACAAGTACTGAGACTAAATCAAACTTTTAGAAAATGAGTAGTATTTATATATATCAGGTTCACATTTCAAAAGTAATTGAACAGCGACTACAATGTTTAGGGCAAGTGAAGTTAATTATTTCCTCCTTTCACTTCTAAATACTTTTTTTCTTTTCTTGTAAATCATCTTTGCTAAAGCATGGCACTGTCTATAAATGTGCAAAAATCCGTTATTCCCGCTCTGATGATTTTCAGGTACACTTTCACTGGAATTTATACCTTTGAATCACTTATCAAAATTCTTGCAAGGGGCTTCTGCTTAGAAGGTTTTACTTTTCTGCGAGACCCATGGAACTGGCTTGACTTCAGTGTCATTTTAATGGCGTAAGTGGTTCAAGAACTTTCTAAGCTTTTGGGGCATGAAATTAGTGGTAAATATTATTATAATAAAATGCATTTATTTATATGTATTTAATTTATTCAACCTGTGAAGCTTAGACACCATATCACACATTTAGTACCCATAAATCAAAGTAAAAAATGGCAGGGGCAGGCATGGAGTGTCAGCCACTAGTGTAATTATTGCTGAGGGACACTAATTTCATGTCCTACATTTTTCTGCTCATCAGAAGGGAAACCATCCCTTTGACTTCATGTCACCGTCCCATTACAAGTTAATTAGTTTAATTAGCTGTTCAAATACAAATCAGTGAGTTTCACTTCAATGACATTTAATCAAAATGGATGAAAATAATTATAAAAGTGAGCTGTACTGAAGAGACAGGTAAATTTTGAAGTATGATTGCTAGAATTTCCACAGAGGTTTTGAAAGACCCACATAATTAGTATAAGCTCTGCTTCAATTCTGAATAACTGTGATTTAATCCTACAGGTATGTAACAGAATTTGTAAACCTAGGCAATGTTTCAGCTCTTCGAACTTTCAGAGTATTGAGAGCTTTGAAAACTATTTCTGTAATTCCAGGTAAGAAGTAGTTGATGTTAAGGTGTTAGGCCCCTCGTATCTCCAACTGTTATTTGTGTGCTGTCATTGTGTTTGTGTGTGAACTCCCCTATTACAGATATGTGACAGAGTTTGTGGACCTGGGCAATGTCTCAGCGTTGAGAACATTCAGAGTTCTCCGAGCTTTGAAAACAATATCAGTCATTCCAGGTGAGAGCAAGGTTAAACACTGAGGCTGACTTTCGTTCCATTGAAGTCAAATTCACTTCGTCTGAGCATAAGTCTCACTGTTCGCTGCTCATATTGCCAAAAAAAAAGGAAACAAAAAGGCATGGATCATAAACCTAGATTATGATTCTTTGCCTTTTCAGCATTAGCTTCTTTTATTTTGCAAAATCAGCCTTTGAGTTTAACAGATTCTTGCATGAAACATAAAATATGAGGCCTGTGGGTTATTTTGCTTTGTTTTTCTGCATTTTTTTACAGCAACTTGCCTCTACATTACAAAAGCTTTAGCGCTATGGCTTTCTTGATTTTGAATTTTTTCCTTTATTTTGCCACTTAAAATTGACATTAGTCTTAATGACAACCAAGTAACAACAGAAAAAGCAACCAGAAAGGAAATAAATAATGCACAGGAAAATTTATCAAGTGCAAATGATTTTTTCCTCAAAATTACTTGAAATTCTGTCTCATACTACCTTCATACTGTTGTGAAGTCATGTTTAATATTAACTTAAAACTGAATTACTGACAGAATATTAAATGCAGAGAGAAATTAAGACATGGAATCAAATCTATAGTATAGGAAAGCATGATTGATAAAATTTCCTGCCTAAGAATAACATTATGTATTTGGTTTATTGGAATATATGTATGTTGCGTATTCATAAAAAGGAGTATTTTTCTTTCATTCATCTTCACAAGCTCTGAGGCTGCTCATGAAGCTTTACTATTGAAAAAAAAATCTCTTTAAGTGTCTGCATGACATCTTAATTATATGGCAAGGACAAAGATACTCTTTGATAATTCTATGGATCTTTTCTCTTTGCAGGCCTAAAGACTATTGTAGGAGCCCTAATTCAGTCTGTGAAGAAGCTCTCGGACGTAATGATCCTGACTGTGTTTTGTCTGAGTGTATTTGCACTAATAGGGCTGCAGCTGTTCATGGGCAACTTGAGGAATAAATGCCTGCAGTGGCCTCCAGACAATTCTAGTTTTGAAATAAACATTATTTCCTACTTTAACAGCACAATGGAGGAAAATGGTACATTTGTTAATATGACAGTGAGCACATTTAACTGGAAGGAATACATTGAGGATAAAAGTAAGAATGCTTGATATAAGTATTTTTAATGTATTTGTGGCTAAAATATGTAACTCTCTGTGATCAAACAAAGAACATTGAGTGGTTTATATTTCTGTCTTACATAGAACTGCTCAGAGTTACCGACTGATATGCAAACAAATACATACAATAAAAAATTACAATAACCAGAAAAGTTCCTAAACAAACTACAAAGTGTTCAGCAGTTACCTACTTAGGTTTAACACAATTTATTTTAATTTTACATTGTAGCATATTTGACTTATTCAAATATATTTCTAATGTTTCCTACACAGGTCATTTTTATGTTTTGGAAGGACAAAGAGATGCCCTACTTTGTGGTAATAGCTCTGATGCAGGGTAAGACCTTTTCAAAAATTCTGTTATGCTCTGTGGAAAAAGCAATAACATGAAACCTAGTTGCAACTCCATATTTAGCAGGGTTACAGAACTTCTGGAGTTTTGCTGCTAGACAATAATTACTTACTTTAGTCAAAATATTTCACTCTATAGCTAAACAAAATAATAATTAAGAGCCTTTCTTCCTGCTTGATTAGAAAATGATGTTGCTGTTAATGATAAAATCTGAACTCTTGTAAAAGTCTATTTTGGTGATTTATTGATTAAAAAAAAAGAAAGAAAGTAGGAACAAAGCAAAAGTTAAAACTGAGAAAGAGAATATGCAAAATATTAAGAAAGAGCAGCAATGACTTCATAGTTCAAGATTAAATCTTTTTTTTCAAGCCTAACGTTTTCAATACTGGCAAATTCTGACATACACATGTGCCCAGTTATGAGCCTAGAATTGTTGGCTGAACTCTGATACCTAACTGGCAGCAGTGAAGAGGCTTACTAAAAATATATATATCAGAATTATGTGAGAGATCCCTAATATTAAATTGGATTTCGCTAATTATATTGTTTAATCTGTCTGTAACCTTAACAACATTTTAGCAATTATTTCTGTTGGGAAGTGATTCATTTGGACTAAAGATTCTATTTGCAAAATGTGATTGAGGAGAATTTTAATATTTAGGTCATTTCAACCAGTGAAAGGATAGAAAGGGTATCTTTCATTTACTCTCTTAGTAGTTTGTTTCTTAGGACATTTTCTTCTGAAAGAACTTGATTATAATTCGTGGATTTCCTGTGGAAAAACAATGCATATTTTTCCAAAAGATACCATATTTTCTAGGAGGGAATAACAGTTATGACTAAGTACTTCCTGTTTGTTTTTCACATAGGCAATGTCCAGAAGGATATATATGTGTGAAAGCTGGTAGAAACCCCAACTATGGTTACACAAGTTTTGATACCTTCAGTTGGGCTTTTTTATCACTGTTTCGGCTAATGACTCAGGACTTCTGGGAAAACCTCTATCAGCTGGTAAGAAACTTCTATAACATAAAAAGTAAACTGTTGGTGATATCCAAGATTATATAAATAGGCTTAATTTTACATGAGCTGAAAGCATAATGCTATTGCACTACCAAAGATAAGTGGTGGAATAATATGCTTCCTACTCCCTAGACACTGCGTGCTGCTGGGAAGACATTCAGGACTTCTGGGAAAACCTCTATCAGCTGGTAAGAAACTTCTATAACATAAAAAGTAAACTGTTGGTGATATCCAAGATTATATAAATAGGCTTAATTTTACATGAGCTGAAAGCATAATGCTATTGCACTACCAAAGATAAGTGGTGGAATAATATGCTTCCTACTCCCTAGACACTGCGTGCTGCTGGGAAGACATACATGATATTTTATTTTTGAAGCCCAGGTAATGATGGAAATTGTACTTTCTGAACAGCCTTGTTCTTAAGGCAGCAATAGAAATCTTGTAGGAATTAGAACATATATAAATTGTGCAGTGAATTACAGAAAGAAAAACAACTTGTTTACCATGCAAGTTATAAAAGCAGAAATAGCCAATGAAAACCAGGAACTAACCAAATAGCAATAAAGCAAGCCAGTGGTATGAAAAAAATGCTACTTAATTCAGCAAAAGACTGTGAAAGTAAAATATTTGTGATAACATTTTTCTATAAACCTGACGAAGTAGTTATTCATGATGTTTTATATTACAGATCTTATGAACAGCATGAGAAAAAGTCTAGTGACTGGTTTACATCTGAGTAAGAATGGCCAGGCTTGCTGAACTTAATAGTTATTTCTAAATATTCAAAAAATAGAGAGAAGGATTGTAATCGGTGTTCTTTTAGGTTTCTATCCAGTAAGGTACTTAAGCATATCCCTAACTGGCACTGAAGTCAATCAGAAGTTTATATATCCTTAGGACATATGAGCAATATTCATAACCAGATGATCAATGTTCATAACAAAGGTATTACTTCCGAATTCTTTCAAAGTAATCTTTGTTTTCTTTGAAAAAAAGAATAAAATTATTTAAAGTTTTATGAGAAGAAGACATTTTAGTGGATACTTTTGTGAGAGGCTTTCATATCTGAAAGTAAAATATAAGCAGGAGTTCAGCTCTGTGAGTCAGCCATCTGTCTAATTTCTGGATTGATTTTCCATTGCTTTTCAAATGACATTTAGTAATTTTCAGTGGGACAGTGTTTATAAAATTAGAATCTTCTATAAAACTATATTTTTGGTAGTTGTTTAGAGCTAATTTCACTAAGTTAGAATGAGTGCTAATAGGAAGAGACACTCTCCATCTTTTTCTTGAAAAGAAATCTTTATGTATGACCTGTGAAATCTAATTAGCATATCTCTATTTTAGTCATTAAACCTTATCACTTCCAAATCACTAAAGAAAAAGCAGAATCCTGTAAAATTCAAATTAAAAAAGGTTAAATGTCAGCAGAGTATGTTATTGGGTTTTTCTTAAATATGATATTTTCATGCGTAGGAAGCTTGTCTAGATGTTTGTGCCTTTGAAAGTGTGGACAGATGAAGTTGCTCCAGAATTAGAAAGAATAGAATATGAAACAGACTACAAAGGGGGATGGATAAAGGCCCTGGAAAGTCTTGTTTTTTAAAATGAGTGAATGCTAAATTCATTATAAGTAAAACATTATTACAGTCAGATCTCTCTTTTTTTTGTGAAAATACTAGCAGAAAGTAGGCAGTACAAGATAGATCACTGAGCTGTTGAATTAGTTGCTGAGGCAGAAATGAGTGTGGAACCGATCTCTTCACTCCCTTGGCACTGAACTTATTAATCCACAAACTTAAGTCAGCACAGTGGTCTTTGGATTGCTCCACTTCACCTTTGCTGTTAGTATTATGAAGTAAATAGGATGACTCAGCATCTGCTGCCTTTGTTTCTTTGAGTCTTTGAAGGGTGATATTCTGTACTGGCACAACAAAATTATGAGTTTCGCTTTTTAAATTTATAAACACTTCAGAATCCTTTTAATATTCTATTTAGCAGAAAAAGTCTGCATCAAGTCAACTTGTATAGCATGGGCTGTATATTGTGGCAGAGAAAGACAATAATTCATACTGTGAGCTTTGAAACTATCCTTTTGTGCTGTAGAGAGATGTGTCATCATTCCTGAAGTACTTGGCATTGAATGTAATATGTTTTGCTGGATAATTACTAGTCGTCTTTGTTATATAACCTTAGTCTCTTGCCATTTATCACACCACCGTTTTTTGTAAGCTCACAGTAGCCTATCAGCTTCCCAAAGATATTTTCCATTGCAGAATTTAATAGCAGTCTCCCACAGTTCTTTCTAGGAACAGTAGTGGACATACTCTCAATTCTTCCTTTATTTGTTAACTAATCTGTAACAAACCAAATCAGGTAGGCTGACCACTGCAGTTGAAGACACTGGTCCTGAGTTTTGGGATGACTCTTTGCTTCAGTAAGTCATCTCATGCTTTTCCATCAGAGAAGAAATCTACATTTTTGGTCTCTTCTGGCTTCAGCACCAACAGGCAATAAATGTATCTTTGCATATGCGTAACAAAGACCTAGAGTGCTGATACCGTGGGAAATGTCGGAGGGGAAACATGAAGAGGGAGGTGGGGCTTGAAGACCTGTCTAGAGGGGGTGCCTGTTGCCAGTGAAGACAGAAGGAAAGTAATGGGGAGTGTCTTTGCTGTGAAGACAGTGAGGAAGGGCTGGATTCAACTACTTGAAGGCTGATAGGTGAATTATGATGCATTAACTCTCATGGTGAATGTTAGAGATTAATTTTCTCTGTAAGAACTCAGAAGGGATCAGCTGAAATAGAGCATGACATGGGGCTTTTCTTGAGAGAAAATGGAATAGTAGGTCTGAAATACATGAAGAAGCACCATGTTTATACTTTTCTGACTGCCTCTATTTTAGACCGGTGTCTTGTGCAGCAATTCTGTAAGGAATAGTGGTGCTACTGTTCTGCTGAAGTTGGTGCTTCTAATAGTTCATGCTGCTAAACAATGAGGAACTTTACAACTCAATAGTTTATCTTCAGTTCAATTTGTTTGGGTATATTTGCATACTTAAGAATGTACAAAGAACGTTATTATCACAGGGATAATAATGCCAGTTGATAAAAACCTATAAAATTATCAATATTTTTGGCCTATTAAGAATACCTTGCTTTGTAACCTGACAGACAACAGCAGCAGTAGCGGCGGCATCAGTTGCATCAAGAGATTTCAGTGGTGTAGGGGGATTAGGAGAACTCCTGGAAAGTTCTTCAGAAGCATCAAAGTTGAGCTCAAAGAGTGCTAAAGAAAGAAGGAACAGAAGGAAGAAAAGAAGACAGAAAGAAATGTCTGAAGCAGAGGACAAAGGAGATATTGATAAGTTCCCTAAGTCTGAGTCAGAAGACAGTATCAGAAGAAAAAGTTTCCGCTTCTCCACAGAAGGAAGTCAACTGACATATGAAAAAAGGCTCACGTCTCCTCACCAGGTACAGCACTCTTTCTTACTGTCATGTGCGTCTATTTTAATTTGATTTTCACTGACATTACAGCAGCTTTACATTTTGGAAGTTATGAAAATGGTGAGTGAAGGAAAAGAACAGTTAATACTGTTCACCATGTTTGAGATGGTTTGACCCATTCTGTTAGCAAAGGAATAAAACCCCCCCTCGTATCAATAATAATAAACAGCTTAATTAAAACATTTCTGAAAATGTATTTGCGAAGATGCATCTAGCAGACTGGAGAAAGAATCATAGACTCTCTGACTAGTATTCATGTATTTGCATTAATCAACCACAGATTCTCTGTTCTGAATCCATTTCAAAACTATACAAATATGTGGGTTTTTTTAGCAGACTGCAACATCAAAATCCCACATTACCATTAGTTTCTGTTATTTTCCTTAAGTAGCTTCTTTAACTGATAGATAATGAGAAAAGTAGCTCTAGTAGTCTGCAATAAAGACAAACTACATAGAGATCATTTGGGCTTGTATTTATAAGAATTTAGTAATACTGTTCTTTTTCATTAGAAATTCATTATACAATATGGAGAATCACTGCAGTCGTAGAGAAAAAAGTAGCTTATGAAGGACTTCTGGAAATCATTTAGTCCAGACCTCAAAGCTCTGCTCCCTCAGATAGAAGGATCTCTTCTGTCACTTAAGGATGCTCCCTCTGTACTCAGCTCTGGTGAGGCACCTCAAGTACTGTGTCCAGTTCTGGACCCCTCACTTCAAGAAAGACATTGAGGTGTTGGAGAGCAACAAAGCTAGTGAAGGATCTAGAGAGTGAGTCATATGAGGGATAGGCTGAGGGAGCTGGGGGTGTTTATCTTACAGAAAAGGATGCTCAAGGGAGACCTTATTGCTCTCTACAACTACCTGAAAGGAGGTTGTAACCAGGTGGGGGTTGGCCTCTTCTCCCAGGCAACTAGCGACAGGATGAGAGGACACAGCTTCAAGCTGTGCCAGGGGAGGTTCAGAGGGAATCTCTTCACAGAAAAGGTTGTTAAATATTGGAATAGATAGCTCAGGGAGGTGGTCAAGACACCATCTCTGGAGGTGTTCAAGAAACAGCTGGACATAGCACTTGGTTCTGTAGTCTAGTTAACAAGGTGGTGATCAGTCAAAGGGTGGACTTGATGATCTTGGGGGTCTTCCCAACCTAAATGATTCTGTGATTCTTTGATACCTTTGGTTATTTCAAGGCTACACATATTTATGGCATTTGTAGAAAAATCACTCAAAATGCATCTCTTCAAAATTATTGTGTCCGGCCTGAGTCAATAGATGAAATTTACCAATCATGTTGAGGATGATTTATTAGTTAAAGACTCTCTTGGTAATAGTTTTTGCAGTTGTAAGAATGCTTTGGGCAAAGGTTGCCAGCATATAACTAAACCCAAGGTGCCACAAGAGTGAAAGAAGTGCAGGCAGTAGAATTGGTAAAGGAAGAGCTCATTTACCTTGTTAGCCATGCAGTATCTCACTGGCAAGACAGGGTCCAGAGCATGAAGCAATGAGGCAGAAGGGTAAGGGGGCATAATCTGCTCAGTTGGCCCCAGTAAGAGGTTTTGTCCTTTGATACAATATTCATAGAATCATAGAATCAAGGTTAGAGTAGACCTCTAAGAACAAGTCCAACCATTAACCTGCCACACTGCTGTAACCCCTAAATGCTCAACCGGTGCCAGATCCAAATTCCTCTTAAACCATTCCTGGGATGGTAACTCTACCACCTCCCTAGGAAACTTATTCTGATGCCTGACCACCCTAACAGGGATTATTTTTCCCTTAATACCTAAATTGAATCTCCCCTGTCTCAGCTTATGACTGTTCCCTCTAGTCCTCTCATGGCAGGCATGGCAGAAAAGACCACCCCCCACCTCTCTGCAACCCCCTTTAAGGTAGATGTAGAGAGTGCTAAGGTCACCCCTGAGCTGCCTCTTCTCAAGGCTAAACAAACCCAATTCCCTCAGCCATCCCTCATACAATGTGTTTTCTAGGCCTTTTATGAGCCTCATTGCCCTTCGTGGGTCTCGCTCCAGTGCCTCAATGTCCTTTTTACAGTGAAGGGCCCAAAACCGAACACAGTACTCCAGGTGTGGCCTCACCAATGTCAAGTACAGGGGCATGATCACTTTCCTAGTCCTGCTGGTCATGCTGTTCTTGACAGAGGCCAAGATGCCATTTGCCTTCTTGGCCACCTGTGCACACTCTTTGCTCGTAGTGAGCCGTTGTCCATCAGCACTGCCAAGTCCCTTTCTGACGAACAACTCTCAAGCCACTCCTCCCCCAGCCTGTAGTGCTGTATGGGGTTGTTGTATCCCAAGCGTAGGACCCAGCACTTCACTTTATTGAACCTGGTGCAGTTATCCTCAGCCCATTGATCAAGTCAGTCCAGGTCTCTCTCTATAGAGCTTTCCTACCCTCAGGCACATTGACAGTCCCACCCAACTTGGTGTCATTTGCAAATTTACTGAGGGTGCACTCAATCCTCATATCCAGATTGTCAATAAAGATGTTAAATAGGACCAGCCCCAATATTGAGCTGTGGGGAACACTACTAGTGACAAGCCTCCAGCTGGAGGAGGAGCTGGGTATCCTGAGGACAACTGGTCTTGACATTAAAGGCAGAAGCAAAGAAGGCATTGAATACCTCTGCCTTATCCTCATTCCCTGTCACTACACCACCACCTGCATTTATCAACTGATGGACGCCCTCATTGACCCTCCTTTTGCTCCCAGTGTATTTATGAAAACTTTCTTTGTTGTCTGTAACAGCCAAATCAAGTTCCAACTGGGCTTTGGCCTTCCTAATCTTCTCACTGCATGACCTTTCAGCATCCATACAGTCTTCCCAATTTGCCTGACCCTCCTTTCAGAGATGATAGATTCTCTATTTTTTTCCCCATTCTCCAGCTTAAGTTCTGTTTAACCAGGTTGGTCTTTTTCCTCGACGACTTGACTTCTACACATAGGGACAGTCTGCTCCTGAACGTTTAACAATTCTTTTTTAAAACACTCCCAGCCTTCCTGAACTCCTTTACCTTTCAGGACTGACTCCCAAGAGACTCCATCAATCAGTGTCCTAAACAGGTCAAAGTCTGCCCACTGGAAGCCCAAGGTGGAAGTTCTGATACTGGCCCTTCTTACATCACCCACTATTGAAAACTTTTTAATTTCCTTGTCACTATGGCCAAGATGGCCATAGTGTGGATAAATATATTCCATGTGCAGATGAATGATGCAGCCTGCCAGAAAAGTCAAGCTTTCCTTTCAGACCTTACTTTCCAAGAGCAGGTAGACATATATTTCTGTCTCTACATGTGTTAAAATTGCAGCCATTTTGGCTTGTAACTTTTGTTTCAATGCAGCAGGGACTTGTAGAGCAGGAATTACTCCTCCCAAATCCCTGAGGGAGCTCATCCAATTAGCTATGCTTAGAACGTGGTAACACATACTGGAGAGATTGGCCTGCAAATAAAACATAGCAGCCATGGGAACATTCTCTAAAAGAACAAGAGTTGCACTGGTAGTCAGGCGAAACCCTAGTAAGCATGTGGTTTTCTTGAAGGACTGTAGGTTGCCTGATATATTTACAAAGAAATGTACAAAGGGTGCAGTGATTAGTGTCAGACCATATAGCACCTAGAGCTTTTTTGCTTTTTTTGCTTTTTATTTCGGATAAAAGTATCTGTAAGTATAAGCAAAACAATACTTTGTCTCCAGCCAAGTTTACATAAATGGATTAGCAAAACCATTTGGTTGATATTCTTCAAGTAACTCAGCCTGAGGCTGACAGCCAACATAGAAAATTTCAGCCCAAACTATTAAAATTTGGTATAGCTGTAAGAACAGAAAAAAACTACATCTCATAATGGTAAACACCTGCCAGCCCTTATAACAGGCAGTCATACCAGTCCAGCACACACATTATGTGTGTGAATGTATATACCTGATTATGCATATACAGAGATACATATGTATTGATGTATGTGTATATTCAGTGTTCACAGTATTAACAACATAGGTTGATATACTATAGGGCAGCTGTCACTTTCATTGTAATTATCCTGGGATAAAACCCACTGCTATTACATATGAGCACGTTCCACCTGCAAAAATAGAGAAAAATTGAGAATCATCACAAACCAAGTTTTTGATGTACCAAGATGTGAAGATTTGTACAAATGCAGAATTGAAGAAAGCTGAATGCAAGATTTCTTGTCTCCATAATTAGTACTCATTTTATTTATTCATGAATGCTGTTAATAAAATATGTAGCAAGGGAGAAGAACACTCCATTAACCAGCTTCTACTGTAATTAAGAGGAATTACCAACAACCACTGATTTATTTTTCTCACTTGCCAGACAGTATCTTTAGGTAGCTCTGTCCCTGGTGAATCCTTGCATTTGGCTGCCTGATGGCCAAGATGTAGGTGTGCAGCCTGCTATAGCCTCTAGAGGGCTGTGCCCAAGAGTGCTACTACTGTACCTCCAGAGCTTCCTAAAACTGTCACCTCTGTCTTCTAGTTCCCACACTATTGAGCCTACTGTGAAGATGTCAGTAAAGTTCTTTCAGCAATTGAGACAGAATTTTATACTTGAACGTTAGCTCGCTTCAGCCTCTAGCAAATAAAATAGAGAACAATGATCAGGGAGCATTATTAGTTGTTATCCCTAGGAATCCAGGGTATGAAGAAGGGAAAAAAAGTAAAAAGTTTTTAGCTTTGTCCTCTAATAGAAGGAATAAAAGACAAATACCTGCAAAACCTTGATAGTGATGTTGAAAACTCTCTCCAGCATTGTCCATACCAATTCAACCCATCTTCTTCACTCAAAACTGTTTAACCTTACTTACGTCTTCTACGCAACGTCTCCTCAGTCTCCTGCTACATTACCTGAAAAGAATTTTCCCCCTCTACTTCAGGTCCCCTGACAAGCACATTCCCCTAATGTACACACTTATACTGTGGAAGAAAATAGTGACTATCCTTTCTCCAAAACTGTAACTATTACTTGAAAAGCCAGGAACTTACAGCTTGACTGCTAATGTTTTTTTGGTTTGTTTTAAATCTTTTACAGTCTTTGTTAAGCATCCGTGGGTCTCTGTTCTCACCAAGGCGCAACAGCAAAACAAGCATTTTCAGTTTCAGAGGTCATGCAAAGGATATAGGATCTGAAAATGACTTTGCTGATGATGAGCACAGCACTCTTGAAGACAATGAGAGCAGAAGAGATTCTCTCTTTGTTCCAAATCGACATGGAGAACGTCGCAACAGTAATATTAGTCAGGCGAGTGTGTCATCTAGAATGATACCAGCCCTTCCAGTGAATGGGAAGATGCACAGCACTGTGGATTGCAATGGAGTAGTTTCCTTGGTTGGAGGACCTTCAACTCTAACTTCACCTACTGGTCAGCTTATACCAGAGGTAATTATAAGTAAACCAGTAATTATTACAGTTTGGTTCAGGGACAGAACTGTTTGTTATTCCTCATCTCTGCATTCCATGTAATTTTTTAGAGCCATGAGAAAAAAATTGCAATAATTTCTAAATAACAGGACATAAAGGGAAAAAAGTCCTCAACCTCCTGTGTCTAAGCCTCAGTAAAGTATTATATTCTCCTTGCTTTCAGCAGAGATTGCACTTAGAAAGAAAAAAATTATAAGTTGAATTTGACAACTTGTATATAGTTTCACCTCAACAAAGGTAGATATTAGATATATATATATAACTGAGGCTATAGCTTGGAAATATGTATAAGGAAATACCTATAAAATTAAGCAGAATGTGGTTACTACTCTAATAATATTAATAGAAATACCCCTTACTGAACTTATCTTGAGGAATTTTTCTCATACATTTAATGAGAAAAATAAGTACCATTCCTATGTACCTTTGCAATTATATTACATTTCAGTGTCAGTTTCTGACTTCTGTAAGCTAAGTTGTTCTTTCAAACTTTCAAAAAGTTAAGCCTTTTCATACATAGGATATTACTATGGATTCAGTATGGTATTTTGCTGTCTATAATAGCTTGTTATCTAAGCTGCAAAACATTTGCATTATAAATATTGAGTTTTCAGTACTATTATTACACATTTCTTTTTTTTTTTCTCCTAACTTGATATAATAGACCTTCAAACCAGAAATTCCATCAGATTACCTCAGAGTTTATGCATACATAGTTCTGTTTCAGAAATACATTCACTGGAAATCAGCCATTTAACTCAAGAGTCTTCTCTAAAGAAGTAGTCCTAGTGAATGCTCAAAAATGCCTTTTCATCTTCACAATAAGAGAACTGTGAAATTCCTTATAAGTTCTGCAAGTTTTTTTGTTCTTTTTCTAGATGGGGACAGAAAAATGAGAAAAAGAGTGAGTGGTTTCCATGAATCACAGAATCAGGGGTAGAGAAGGAACCAATATTTAGGAACTTTTTAATCCCACTCCTATGCTTAGATCCCTAGGTCACACTCTGGAACTAAAACTAAAGGAATTGTAAGAACACCTACATGATACAGACTAGTGACATGTTAGGCACATTTAAATAAAAGTTGAATATTATTGTTTTGAAAAGATAATTAGAAGCCATACAAACCAAAAGGGACTTGCACATTCATTGCAAGAATATATCACAAACTCTGTATGAGCATTGTGGTGCGTGGGAATTGGTAGAAAAAGTATTAAATAAGATGCACTTTTTTTTCTCATATAAAGTTTTCTAACCACACTTATCAGGTTACGAATACAGTAAATAGTATTAGCAAGATAATTAATTCCTAAAATTATACTCATGTTTCTTGTATCAAAGTTACTTTCTTAAACAGTATTTCACTTCTCTCTGTACTTGCACTTTGCTTATTTAACATGACTAGCTCTGGAAATTAATGTGATAGATTTCAACTTTGAGCATTTTTTGTTGAAAGAATAATAATAATTGCTGGAAAAAAGATACCTAGCAAAAATTTTCTTTAGTTAATCATTTAAATTAAATCCACCTTTGGTCCTACATTGTTTTGGTATTGGGTCCTCCAGCTGATTATTTGTAGCACTGTACAGAATTCCCACTGAGTTCCTCAATAAAGAAGAAAAAATCCCTAGAGGGATAGAAACCTTCAGTGCATAAGAAAAGCATAGCATATTGCACAAAGATGATTATGAAGTAAATATTGTTAATTGGCTGTTGAAAAGGATGGTCTAATTCCTCAGTATTTCATTTACAGGGCACCACTACAGAAACAGAAATAAGAAAAAGAAGACTGAGTTCTTACCAAATTTCTATGGAAATGCTGGAAGAGTCTGCTGCAAGACAGAGAGCAATGAGCATAGCCAGCATACTTACAAACACAATGGAAGGTATTTGATGCATTTTATCTGACAGGTCCTTCAGTGAATTTCTGCTAACTACATGTACAGAGAAATTATTTACATAATTTCCTTTGTAAATGTAAAACTGGACATTTGAAATCTCTGAACATCAGATACAAAAGGCTTTTGAGAAGTTCTAAGATTATTTGCACATTCTAAATGCTTAGCCATTTATTTTTCATGACACGTTTCAAAATATTACTCTATTGAGTGGACTAACAGAGATAAAATAATCATAGCTAGGAGATTTCCAGAGCCTCAAACAGAGAATATGGTGATTTTCTTCCCGTAAGACACCAGCAGGAAAAATCAATTAAGATACACAGGAATTGCTATACATCAGCTCACTGGTGATTGAGTCAAGTTAACTTTTAATATCCAAAATTAAGACTGTAAGCAAGTAAAGCAACCTAAATTAAATGTTTAGATTCCCCCTACTGTCATGGGAAAGATGAACATTTCTCTCTTTAGACAGATGTCTGAGATGATTCATGTTTTAGAGAACAGACTTCACTGTCCACTGGTCATAGAGGAGCTTAAATCAATTAGATTTATTACATTAAGGTGGCTACATAGAGGTGAGGGAAATCCCATGTTAGTTGAGGTCTGTTTATGTGAATAATATAATCTTTTTAACATATTTTAAACAAGAATTTCCAGAGGATATAATTGGAATATTAATTTTTTCTGGCTTTTTTTCCAGAGCTTGAAGAATCCAGACAAAAGTGCCCACCATGCTGGTACAGATTTGCCAATACTTTCTTGATCTGGGATTGCTGGAGTCCATGGTTAAAAGTAAAGCATGTCGTCAATTTAGTTGTGATGGATCCATTTGTTGATCTTGCTATAACTATTTGCATTGTTTTAAACACCTTGTTCATGGCCATGGAACATTACCCAATGACAGAACAGTTTAGCAGTGTCCTTTCTGTGGGGAACCTGGTGAGTGGTTTGTCATGCACTACTTGGTGTACATTCTTTTCTGAAAGAAGAATTGTATAAATACATTGCATTTGTTTTAAATTTATTCAATATGTTTTTTATAATCAATCTAGAAACAATATAGATGATTTTCATAGGTGAAGTGAGAGCCTTTACCATTCATGAATCTGTTTTGTAACTACTATAATGAAATAACTGAATATGTGTGGAAATGCAGTTTTTACTGGAATGTCAGATTTCTTGACGTCTACCTTGGGATTTTTCTTTAAAATATTAAGGTAGATTATGTAATTTTTACCATGGTACTGATATCCTGTCACAGAAAATATTTTTCTTCTGTACAAAACTGATCTAATATTCAGATGTTAGAATTTCTCTTAGAATTTTTTCCAGTTACACTAGAGTGAAAGTACTTTTCAAAAAAAAAGCATTTTTCTTGCTAGCAGAAATTCCCTCCCATTTTAGGTAACTGAAAAAACTTAATAATTGAGAAGATTATTATTTATTCTCTAACAAAAATCATCTTTTATCTTTGAGTTTATTAGTGATGCCTTTCCCGATTTTACCTTGATTCAGAGATTTAGGGTTACATGTAATTCCTTTTCTGAGCAGATACCTAAATGTGACATAACACTTATAAGTTCTTGTCTGTTTCTTTCCATTTCCCTCTTATGCTCAGGAAGCAGAGGACTGAACCTTGCAAGTGTTTGATTCAGAAGCAGGTTCATACATTTTTAATTTTTCGCCAGCTCACATAACTGCCAGTAGTTTACACAGGAGAGGTCTGGATTGACTTACACAGCATGCAGGCCTGAAAATCAAAACCAACCAAGTGTTCAGGTCTAATAACTCAAAAAGATTAGTTTTTGAAAAGTCAGCTAATATTTACATCGCACACTAATAGACTTCTCAGTCAGAGTATGTTTTAAAGTCTAAACATTTTTCTCCTATGCGCTAGTAGCACATCCTTCTATGACATTTTTTAAAAACAGAACTAAAATCGAACTTACTACCTATGTGCTCTTGTGTGCATTACAGTTTCCTTTCTCCTGGACAAAGAGCTAATTGCTGGCATATTCTTATACTCATCACAGATTGCAGAATATTGTATTTTAAAATCTTGGTCTCTCATGGTGTTAGAATTATTTCTTTCTGATGATTTATATTCACTAGGTTTTATGCCTTTTCCCATCTTGTGTTTTGGGTTTTTTTACTGTAAGCTAGCCACAGACATATTTTTAACTACCTTTGTAACAATTCAGTATCCTTAATTAGGACTATATAAATGCAGTGAATACTATTTCTGCTGGTTTCAATTAAATTCTCTGTTCCTCACTGTGTTAATCTTAATTAAACCTTACTTTTGTGATTTACATTCAAAATAAGTTCATTTACTCTTTGCTTGTGACATCACAGCCTGTTTGAGTTTAAATTAAATATGACCACTATGACTGCCTTTTAGGTAGCTTTTTTAATGAGAAAGAAGAAATAGTTCTAAAATGCATTAGTTCTTTTTCCCAAAAGGAAAAAGCATAGTATCTGCGTGTGAAACCTCTGTACGCTCCAAAACGCCCAGTACAACAAACTCCAACTTCCTGTCTATTCCACCCATATTCCTCAACTCTGACCTACATGACGCACCTTAAAGAGTCTGTCCATCGAGACCCTGACATTAGAGAGTATCTTCTGACACTTCTGTTTAGACTGTGAGCAAGAAACACATTGCTGTCAAGTCTTTTATCTTACTGGGACAAACCACTTAAAACAGGACTGAAAACACCAAATCAGACCACTTCATCTGCTGGACGGATAGTCCAGCACATACCAGTCAAATATAAACTGGAGTTGAGCTGCTGACTGGTCAATAGCTTTTGATAGGTTTATCAAACCTCTGTCCTCCTATATATGTCCTGATTTAGTAATTTGTTTTCAGTGTTTAGAAATACTTAGATGCCATTTGGAGATAGCATTCAGCTGGTTTTTATAGTGACAGCTAGGAGAACTCAAGCTGGATTAAAAAAATTACTCAGGTATATAAATGTCTCATAACAACTAAATTACATTTTGTTTTAGGTATTCACAGGGATATTCACAGCAGAAATGGTACTAAAGATAATTGCCATGGACCCTTATTATTATTTCCAGGAAGGCTGGAATATTTTTGATGGTATTATCGTTAGCCTTAGTTTAATGGAACTTGGTCTCGCAAATGTTGAAGGATTATCTGTTCTTCGGTCATTCAGATTGGTAAATATCTTGATAATTAAATATTTGCATGCAATTGTTGTGCTCAATATAAATTTTTTAAAAAGTGCTGGTGCTCATAATAATTATCATATTTTGTAAAGAAATATTATATACTTCAGTGGCTCATGATATTTTTCATATGTGCCTAATTTTCAAACTATGTTTGATAAATACAAGTTTAAGGTGATTGTCAATTGATATCCTTTGATAATTTTTGGTATCAGATTATCCTATTGATCTTCTGTCCTATGGATATCCTTTGCCAGCATAAGACTTAACTACTACCTTTTAAGAATTTTGTAAATCTTCACTACACTGATTTCGTTAAGATTCATCAAAGCTGAGTATCTGTAAAAACATATATATTGTCACCAGCATAAAGAACGATAACATTTTTAGTCATTATATTGTGAGCATTACTTTGTGTTACTTGTGAAGATCTTTTCACATTTATTTTAACAGGCACTGACAATAAACTTTTAGTAAGTCCATTACCTATTATGACAACGAGTCTTAACAAGCTGACTTTAAGAAAAGATTTAAATTGAAATATTACAGAGCTTCTACTAGAAATGGTTTTTTTATAGCAATTAGTATTGCACACAAACTAATTCAGATATTTTTACTGGAGGCATGATATTCATGACTTTAAAGTCCTTACTACCAATAGTTAGCACATTACTTGAAAACCTAGGTTTTCTCGTAATATATAGACTAGGAAGTAGCGAATTCATTTATTAGCACTACTTGAAATGATATTTTGTTCATATAATGTACTTTGGTTACTGAATATTATTTTTAAGTTAATGTTTGTGATTTGAATGGGCATCACAATATCAGCATCAAATTGTTGCATAAATGAAATCAAATTGTCCTCTAACTAAGCACAGAAGACTTAATGCGGTGCTGAGGGAAATATGGGACCAAGCCAGCAAAAAGGGTGTAGTGAAAGTGATGAAAAGAGCACAAGCTTCTAAAATGTTTTTAAGAATTGTTCAGCAATCATTTGTAAGTGGACATTTAAAAATATTAAAATGAAATCTCCTACAAATACAAATAATTAATTTTTTACTATGTGCATCACTAAAATCAAATGCTGAGTAGTGTACTTTAGACAAATACTGCATGTTCTTTGCTTTCCATTAAAATAATAATGCATTCCTACTGAAGAACAAATTAATCTACAAAAATTGATATGCTCTGCTAAACAACTTGGGCCTAACTTCTGTTTCATAACTTACACTAAAGATTCCTCTGTGATTTTTTTTTTTCAGCTTCGAGTTTTCAAACTGGCAAAATCTTGGCCAACTCTAAATATGCTGATTAAGATTATTGGCAACTCAGTGGGGGCTCTGGGGAATCTGACCCTGGTGCTGGCCATCATTGTGTTCATTTTCGCTGTGGTTGGGATGCAGCTGTTTGGGAAAAGCTACAAGGAATGTGTCTGCAAGATCTCTAGTGACTGTGAACTTCCACGCTGGCACATGCATGACTTTTTCCATTCTTTCCTGATTGTATTCCGAGTGCTTTGTGGAGAATGGATAGAAACGATGTGGGACTGCATGGAGGTTGCAGGCCAAACCATGTGCCTTATTGTTTTCATGCTGGTCATGGTGATTGGAAACCTAGTGGTACGTGATGAACATTTTTGAATATTAACTTTGATGCAAATGTACAGGACTTACAGCTAGGCAATGAAAATGTCATACTTCCGTTTAGAATTAAAAAATGAATATGAATATGCTAAATTTGGGGTAAAAACATAGGATGATTCCCTTCTCTTTTTCACTCATCTCTATACACTGTAGTACTCTTACTATGGGTACAGGAATTTAGAAGTATGCCAAAATGTCAAATCAAACATCCTATCATGGGAGTGCTGCAGCTAATTTAGAGATGCTGTTTAAATCCAAATGTCTTCCTCACTGCTCCTGAAATAATACAGTTTATCCTGCACCAGCTCCTGGAAAGCTGCTTCTTCAGAAATTACACGTATTTCCAGCACTTGTACTTCTGACTTAGTAAAAACAATGTATAATATAGCTGGTCTTAATTTGAATATCTTGAATTTAAGTGCTGAACTTTTTGGCCTGTTTAGGTATACAAAACAAAAGTGAAATACAGAGTGATTTGCCATCCAGCCTAAAAATGTGTTTGAAAGCTTCTAACTTCATAGGAAAAATTAAATTCAAGCTGAGAAGTTAAAATGAAAATTTCCAATTGATAAATATCAAATCGGTGAGAACTTCTTAGAAATCAGCATTATAAATGTAATGTGCCATTTACACTTTTAATTTCTTTTACTGTTGAACTTTCCAATTCTTTCCAATATGCAAAACCCTCTGTATTGCATTACCTGTCAAAATTATCTTCCTTTAGTGTTATATTTTAACATGATTTAGATTTTTATAAAACAGAATTCAGAATGTTTGTATCCTAGATATTTACATGACCTTCAATATTGACATTCTATCACGAGAAGTGTGCAGAGTCCCAGGAAGTTATTTATGAACAGGAACCTGCCCTACTAAGTATCTTAGAGTCATAGAATCATTTAAATTGGCAAAGGCCTTTGAGATCATCAAGTACAACTGCTAATCTAGCACTGCCAAGTCTAACACTTCTTACATGTATATATTTACTATACAGTTGTATTCTCTCATTCTTTAGGTATTGAACCTATTTCTGGCCTTGCTGCTGAGCTCATTTAGTTCAGACAACCTTGCTGCTACAGATGATGATAATGAAATGAACAATCTCCAGATTGCTGTGGGAAGGATTCAGAAGGGAATAGATTATGTTAAAAAGAAGATACGGGAGTTCATCCGAAAAGCCTTTGTTAGAAAGCAGAAATCTTTAGAGGAAATCAAAGCGCTTGAAGAGCTGAACAACAAGAAAGACAGCTGCATTTCCAATCACACTGCCATTGAAATAAGCAAAGATCTGAATTATCTCAAAGATGGGAATGGAACCACCAGTGGTGTAGGCACAGGCAGCAGTGTGGAAAAATATGCAATTGATGAAAACGATTATATGTCATTCATAAACAACCCAGGCCTCACTGTGACAGTGCCCATTGCTGTTGGAGAATCAGATTTTGAAAATTTAAACACAGAAGAATTTAGCAGCGAATCTGATATGGAAGAAAGCAAACAGGTAGGCGAATTCATATCTTAACAATTAAATTGTAGTCATGCATTTGCATGTTTTAATTACATAATTAGAATTGTTTAAAAACTGTAATATCCTGTGTAAATATATTTTATGTTTTAGAATTTGATGTAATTATAATTGAAGAAAACAATTATCCTATATGATGCTGTACTAGGGGGTCCTTAGAGATTACATTTTTAGTATTTTGTTTATTAAGATTTGGAAGATGTTTGATTTTAAATATGATTATTTCTTTCATAGTTTTATGAGGTTTTAGGTCTAGCATACATTTCATAAAGCATTTTCTGTACTACCTACAATGCAGTAAGAATTTGTGGAATAAGGGTAGATGACTAAGGAACAGTCAAGAGTGTACAGCTTTGCATACCCAAGCAAATATAGATGGAGAAAAAGGTTTTTTTTCAATATTTAGAGTAGTTCCAAAAATTGAACCTGAGACATCATAAATCATTAATGTAATTCTGGATTATCTAAGAAGTTTTGTGAGTAATATTTGTACAGATTTTGGGTTCAGAGACTATGGCTGGCTGAATTAAAGGAATCCAGGTACTAGTGAATGTTGTGGTGGGTGAAGCAGTATCTCAGGTTATCCTGGAGAGGATAATCTCATAATACAAATGTATGTGGAAACAGCTTAATGCAAAGCCTTATGCTATTATTGTTGTGCAGAAGTGACTGAAGTTGGTCCAAAACCTGAATGCCATGTGTCTCAAAATCTAAGTGGCTCAAATACCAGAAGTAATCATGAACATGTGCTAAAGATATTTGAGGAAGATTTTGTATGTTGAAGTAGCGATCAATGACAATCTAATAAATGTATTTTCAGAATATAATTATATTCAGTGCCATTAGAAATGTAGGAACAGTGAGGTTTATGGGATCAGAACCATGGATAAATTTGTTTTCAATTAAAATAGAAGCTGTGATGTTGTGTGATAACTCATTAGTACAAAGGGTTTGTTTGCCATAAAGAAAGCTCTTCTATAAAGAAGCACTGCATTCATGACTTCATCATATCTGTACAGTTGCCATATTTACAAATAATGATGGATTCTTCAGCAATTCCAAACTATACCATATGACAGTAATGGATAGCCATGGTCCAGTTAGTCATAGTATGTGATTTTTTGCTAAAGAACATAAAGGAACATAAAGACTGTGCTTATTTGCAGCTGCAGAGAATGTTGCTCTGTGTAACAATTGTAAGGTGAAAAGCAAGATATTCTATTATCCAACTGAGTTGCTTAGATATGAGACAAACAGTTTTAGTTCAGATGTATAAGATGCTATAGCAGTAGTGCTTATCCATGGCAATTTAAGAATAGAAGAGATACTGGAAGCATAAAGTGATGTAATTTATGAGATCAACTAGTATAAGACAAAGAGCTTTCAGAGTGACTGGGTCTGAGAGTTAAGTATTTTTCAGACAAGCTGATCTCATAAAAGTTGATTGTCATTTCCAAGGAACTTTTAGCAAAGTCTTCTAAGTCTTTTCATATATTCTGATGTTTTTTTTAAAAATCACATTTTACTATATATTTTCTGCTTTCCTTGTGATTAGTTGAGTTAAATACAATGATAGGTGCCTTCCTAGCAACTCCATTTTATGAAGTTACAAATTTCCTGAATATGTTACTTTTGAAAAGGTTTGTAATATGCGCTAGCAAGTTGTGAGGCTTGCAAGCTGTGCAGATGCTAAAAATGTGGTTACATGACATGTGAGCCTTTCAGCAGAGGGAAGCTAGGGAAGCTCCCATCCACACCTGGCTAGTGATCCCCCAGGAGTCTTTACCACTTTCTGTCCCTCAGTGCTCATGAGTCTGTGCAATGAGGCAGGGCACTGGTTGTCCCATAAATATTATTTATTTCTTCTTTAAGGCAGATTGAATGGCTCAGTTTTCAGTGTACTGCTGCATATGCTGTCAGAACAACTGAGGACAAAATAAAATACAATGCAAAGGCAGAAACTTCTCTGCTTTTCAAGTGAATATGTGATGTATGTACACCCTAAGAAAATGGATTAAAACCCCATTTTGTGCTTGGAAGTTCTTAATACCAGTTTCAAGGTGACATTCACAAGTCAATTGCTCTGTTCATTCCTATCTTTGCTTTGTTCAGGCATCACAGTTTTGTCTACTAAGGCCACCCTGAAGTTTCTGGACAGTAATAAATCAAAAGGGATTTTGTAATTTTTTTTTTAATGGACTTCAAATGTATCCATATGTCTTTGGGAAGAGAAATCGAATCCAAAAGTCTGTATAAGCAATTTGAAAATGAAAGTTTCAGGTGACCACGGGAAATTTTTAGTGGGGTTAGGATAAGTTTAGGACTTCTGTGCAGCCTCAGTATTTCCATAGAATGTAATAATCATTACCATTGTGAAGCTGGAGTAATAGTACTTCCCTCAAGTTCTGCTCACACACAGCTGTTCAGTGTTTTAACTGTTTGATGTGCATTCACACAGTGCAAGTGTACATATTGTGCACAATAGCTAATAAGATAGTGCCCTGAAAATTGTAAATTCTATATTAAATGCACTTTCTGCTCTCGATTCCATTCCTTCTGGATGATTTCTAGGGAAAGGATAAAGTGGGGTTTTTTTATTGTGTGTATAGAAATCCACCAACTTTGGTAATATATGAACAGATGTTCTGGAGCATGACAGGAATTTGTGAAGATTCCCAATCTTCTCCTACCAACTCAACATTGCCATTGAATCTTTTTTCTGCCTTCTGATTGTGTTTCAAGGAAGATAAAGAGTACATTGGTGCAGTGTCTAAGTTACCTTTCTAGAACAGTACACCATCATTTGCTTTGTTTTGCCTCTCAAGGGGTACCACTGAGACAACATCCCTGCTAGAAGGCCTGGTCTGCAAAAGGAGGGGTAAGAGATGGGGCAGAAGTTTCCCTGCTTAGCTGTGGCAGTACTTAACACTTCAAATACCCTGATGAGGTATCCCCTATAATATTTTATTTAGCAACACTGTGGGAAGTGAGATCTGCACAGGAACTGTAAAATTTACCTTTTTTTTCTGGTATCTAACTGACTGTCACTGATGTTAAAAGCAGAATGATTATTTGAAGTCTGTTGTGCTAGAAGTATGACAGGGGCTGTGTGCCCCTGAGGAATATGCCAGGAGCAGGTAATTACTATAGAAATTGTAACTGTGGGTGAGGAACATATTGTAATTTTTCCTATTTTTATTATCAGTGTACTATAGTGCAAAATAACTCTAGCTGCCAAGCTTCTTTTGGAAGGCTGGTTCCTTTTTTATTTTTTTTAAACCGCCCTCCCCATCTTCATGAAAATACTATCTAATTAGTTTGCCAGCTAATAACTTCCCAAATCTGCCAGAACCCATTCTGGAAACTGGTTGCAAGTTCCTGACCTAAACAAGATTTTTCTAATCTTATCACTAGAAATTTGAGGAAGTCTCTGGCTGAAACAGAATAACATTTATTAGATTATAAAGTTACCCACTGCTATAGAGTAATAGTTGGATGAAAGAAGATTTCATTGATACTTTGAAGGAGGATTTTTTTTATCAATCAGAAAATAGAAGTGCAATACCCAATGAAATAATCATCAGAAAAAAGCCCACATTTCTGCTCTGAAAATAAGATAGTTAAGACAATTAACTTTGAAGATAATAAGAAAATTAGCAGTAACTAAAGGGGATAATTTAGTGGTTTTAACATTAACATTGTGGATGCTGTTTTTATTATAAAATATGCTGCTAATCAGTGAAATGAATAGAATGTTAATCTCGTCAAACATAAGGCTCCTACTATTGTTTTTCTGTACCACTTAACAACTGTTCTTTATATCTGATTCACAACTTTATAAATAAAGCTTGGGATTTCAACATGGAATAGTAATTTCAAGTATATTCATCAGTTATAGAAAGCTTATTTTACAGTTCAAGAAATACGTATACCTACAGGCCTCTATCATATAGAATTCCAAAAGCCTTTCTATCTATGGTACACATACAGTAAGTACAAATTCAGATTGGAGAAGTAAGGCTGCTCAATTGACTCCTGAAATCACAGCAGATGATTTTAACAAAATTAACAGTATCCTTCATCATCTAATCTACTGAATTTTCAAAACAAGGAATATGTTCAGCCTTCTGATTGGCTTCACTAGTGCCTTTGTGCCTAGATGAAGTTACAAAGACAAAACCACAGTTACTGCATTCCCAGAAGTTAAGCATTGTCATTGGGCTTCAATAAATTTCGTAGCCAGAATAGATCCTCTAGAATTTGTTCAATTTGTTAGATGACTTTTTACCAAGTTTAAAATGTCCCACAAGATAAATTATCTTTCCTGAAACTGACCAATTCTGGGACAGTATCTTTAGAAGTCACAAGTACTTTTAGTCACGGACTAGCTGTGGCTAATGATTTAAAGAGTATCTCTGGATACATTGATGTTCCACTACCCAGACACTGATCCAATCCTCTTTTGAAACAATTAGATAAAGATTATAGAGTCAGAAGTGTATAGCATACTAAATCTAAATTAGATACTTACACAATATGACAATTCATCACATTTGATTTGAACAGAAATTAAAGATACTTATTTTCATTGGGATTTAGAAGTTCTACCATTATTAGAGGATGAAGGAGGAATGGGAAGACATACATCTTCAAAGTATTTTGCTTACTGTATGTACATTTTTTCAAATAAAAGAGATAATCGCATAGTCAATTAAATGAAGACTAGAACATGAAACAAACAAAAAAACCCTTAAAATGTTCGTTAATATGCATTAAGAACTATATAAATACAGGAGTATTTTCCAAATCTGCTAACCATGTCTTTGTTAATTTAATTAATTCTATTTTTATTTATGAATCAGTTTCTGAGTGCAGATTACTAGTCCTAGCTTCTGCATTTCTAATTTCTCTAAAATAAACTAAGAAATTCTGTAGCAAAGTTTGCTGAACATTTCAGGTGGTATGTATTTCCCTTC